TCCAATTGTCTATGAAACCTATGTTATTCTGCGGGCACCACTTAGACATCCAGCCATTGAGTGACGACAGTCTGCTATGTTTCTCGTCGCCATGGTAAGCAGGGAGGGGACCAGAGCATATTACAATGTCTAACGTCGTACTTGCAAGTTCACACACCTCTTTAACATTATTTTTAGTGATCTCCGACTGGCGAAGTCAAACATCATTAGTGCCGACGTAAATAACAATCTTACTGAATTTACGTTTAGCATTAGCCAGCACTTTTAAATTTGCCAAGATGTCAGGCGCTCTGGCTTCCGGTAAACATTGGACTATGGTGGCTGGTGTCTCTATTTTCACGCTCCGTACAATAGAATCGCCAATAACTAGAGCACTTTCATCAGGTTTCTCAGTGGGTGCGTCACTGAGTGGGGAGAACCTGTTTGATGTTTTGATTGGAACGGAAGAGCGGTGTTTTGACCTGCGACTATGCCGCCTCACAGTCAGAAAGTCGCCCTGCTGCGAAGGTTCTGTAACCGGAACCGAACAATGTACAGGACTCCCTGAGCTAGACGCATCCAAAGCCATATCTACAGCCCTCACATTCTTACTATCCTCAATTAAAATTTGGATGCGTGACTCACCGTGATTGATGAATGATTCCGACTTACCACTGTTGTTTGATGAACTCGTGAAAAACGGAGCGAGAGACAAAAGAAACGGTGCAAGAAAAAAAGAAAACCGTAATAGATGTGAATAGCTAACCGGCTAACGAATGCTAACATGCTGCACTCGCGGCTTTAAATTAAAAGCGAACGATCAAATTAGTCAGATTAGTTTGATAGATAATATCAGAAAAATGGTGGGAATTAAGTTATATTTTATTACTTAGTAGTAAGTAATAGTAAGATTCAACAGAAAAGCGAAACTACACGGAGCTACAATCGCAAACCACTCAGCAGCATGGCAGACAGAGCCTAAAACAATTTTGCACCAGTCCACAAAACTCTTTAAAAGCTCCCTATATTCACTCTCATCATGATCCTTTATACAGCCAACAATTGCTGAGTCATCAGAAAATTTCTGGAGATGACAGTTTTTGGAGTTATACTGGAAATCTGATGTATAAAAGGTAAATAAAAACAGAGCTAAAACCGTTCCTTGAGGAACACCAGTGCTTGGGACACACAGTTCTGCATCCTTACATACTGTGGTCTATTTGAGAGGTAGTCAGTTAACCAGCTGACCATACTCTGATGTAATCCAGCATTTTCTAACGTATTCTTGAGTAACATAGGCTGGATAGTGTTGAATGCACTAGAAAAATAAAAAAATGTAATTCTAACAGTGTTACCTGATGTCTCTAGATTGTTTGTTTTGTTTGTTTGTTTTATTTATTTATAAAGCACAATTAAAACAACATAATGTTGACCAATGTGCTGTACAATCTCTAAATAAAAATTACACAGTATTAACTTTCAGACAAACAATGACCAACAACAACAAATGTTATAAAAAAGCCTCTTGCTAATTAGTCTGCAGAACCAAACGCTAATTCAAGTAAATGCAATTTTAATTTTCGTTTAAAATTACCTAATGGCGGAGACAGTCTGAGATGTAGAGGTAGCTTATTCCAGCGCTTCGGAGCTGCTACTGCAAATGCCCGGTCACCACTCAATTTCAATCTAGTCCTTGGAATGTCTAGGATCATTTGATTTGCTGATCTGAGATACCTGGGTGGTTTGTGTATACGAAGGAGATCCACTAAATATGGTGGGGCCAAATTATGAAATGCTTTATATACAACAACCAATAGTTTAAAATCAATTCTGTACTGCACTGGCAACCACTGACGTGACGCTAAAATCGGTGTTACATGCTGTTTTTTACGAGTACCTGTTAAAAGCCTAGCAGCCGCATTTTGAACCAATTGAAGATGATTTAACAATACTTGGCTAATACCTACATACAGTGAGTTACAGTAATCTAGTTTTACAGAAATAAAAGCATGAATAATCCTTTCAAAATCACTGGAGGACAGAAATGGTTTAACCTTTACTGTTGATCTTAAATAGAAGAAACAAGATCTGTTGTCAGAGTTGATCTGTTTATTAAATTTCAAAGAACTATCAAATTGGACACCAAGGTTCTTCACCACAGATTTACAGAAGGGAGCTAAATTGCAAGTCAAAAGAGTTTTGGGTGTTAGGAGCCCCGAACCAGATTATTTCAGTTTTGCTTTCATTCAAATTCATTTCACTTTGTGACATCCAAGATTTAACTTCATGAAAACAACTCAAAAGTGACTCAAAAGAGCTTTTATCCTGTTTCTGCAAAGGTAGATACACCTGAGTGTCATCTGCATAACAATGAAAAGATACTCCATGCTTATGAAATATAGAACCTAAGGGTAACATATATAATGAAAACAAGACTGGGCCGAGAATGGATCCTTGTGGAACTCCACTAGACAATGGGGCCGTTTCAGAGTAATGTTGACCAAAATGGACTGAAAACGATGACAGGTATAAAAAGATTTGTACAGTATAAAAGATAAATAATAAGCTGATATATATATATATATATATATATATAATAAAAGTACACAAGTAGTACATTATATGTAAAATTAAAAACTTAAATGATACAAAAATACATCAATTTAAATCTACGATTAAAACGCAGTGAATGCAGAATATATTTTAACATCCAAAATACTTTAACATTTCGTTGAGGTAACATTATGTAGCACTCAGAAGTTGTGTAAATATATATTAATTATTGATCATAAAATCAATAGCACATATTTATAAATAAAACCATTTTATTTCAGACAGACTGAGAAAGTAAAGTGGCTGGAGTAGCACATCAACTACATGCGCTAAACATTGTGTTGCGTTTCACTATTGACAGCTTTCTTGACTGCCTTAACTATTGACTTATACGCATCGGAGTGATCCAGTGATGTGACATCTTAGAGGTGATCAGCTTCCTGTCAATAAACAGCTTTCCAGCATGTGAGATTAAATGATGGGATTACAGCAGACTCTGGATGAAGATTGACATGCTGTTTCCAACCAGCGATATCACACTCCAGTAATCCCATCAGCCAGTGCCGAGGACTTCCTGTCCACCTACAAACCCCTTCAGATTTGATTGAACGTGTAATTGGGTCTCTATGGACAGCGGCGCTAGTGCACATAAACATGTCCCCCGTGTCGCTTGTGCTGCTGATGTTGCTTCATGTTTATGCTAATCTAAACTTCACACAGATATATGAACCCTGTCCAGCTTCTTTCCATAATATGTCACATTATGGCAGTAAAATGGGTTGCAGATATGTGTTTGAAACTTAGCGTGTAGGAGGATATGCTAATTATATGTTTTTGTATGTGATTGTTCCTTTTTGAGATAGTAATAGCATAAAAGTACAGGCTTTCAGACGAGGCTCCGATTAAGGCGTTAACATCAGTGTAGAATTACTAAAAGATTGTCTACTACAAGTTTAACCATTTGAAACCAGCTTTAGGTGTCAAACTGTGACTTCTAGCTCCTCGTGTTTGATTTAAATATGTGTGTGGCCCTTTAAATGTGCTTGTTCTTGTTTTCATCTGAGGTTTCCTCTAACCTTGTTTGTGTTGTGTTGCAGGTCATCGTTACAACACCAATGGAGATGCTGAAGATTCAACTGCAAGATGCCGGAAGAATCGGTAAGAATTTAGACTAAAAAAAGAGGAAGGAATGAAGGGAGGTGAAGTGAGAAATGAAGACACAGGACTGATAAGAGAGACGAAGCACTGCCACCTTGTGGTCACATTTTTGTACATTAGTGTCAGATTTTACATAATTTTGTCATTTTTACACAATGATCAGAACATTTGCTATTTATTTGTGTTCTGCTAAATTAATACTTTAGTGAATGCATACCTTAGTGAACGTTTTAGTGAAGTACTGGGAAGATGAAATATGTCTTCTAAAAAGTTACTGTCAGCAGTAATTCATCAATATAGGGGCAGTCATGACCTAATGGTTTGAGAGTCGGACTTGTAACCCGAAGGTTGTGTGTTTGAGTCTCGTACTGGCAGGGATTGTCGGTGGGGGGAGTGAATAACCAGCGCTCTCTTCCACCCTCAATACCACAAATGAGGTGATATGGCTGCCCAATGTTCTGGGTGTGTGTTCACTGCGGTGTGTGCGCACTTGGATGGGTTACATGCACAGCACAAATACCAAGTATGAGTCAGCATACTTGGCCACATGTCACTTCACTTCACTTCATATATTATTCAGTACAGCTGAATATTATTTATTCAATGTATTAAATATTATATAAACATTTTTAAATATCTGTTTTTAATATATTTTTTATAAATACTGAATATTAAATATTTTTCAGTATTAGTTTTTTTCATATATTTTTAAATATTGATTTTTTTAAATGCTGAATACTTTTTATTATACTTTTTAAGGAACCTTATTATTTTTTCTTTTTAAAGTACTGAATATTAAGTCATAGTAAGCAGTACTAAATATTATTTTAAATACTAAATATTATTTATTATATAT